CCTGGCCGGTTTGGCTCAGTGGTTAGAGCATTGACCTGCGGTCCAGAGAGACCCGGGTTCGGTTCCCACTAAGGGTATGTACCTCGGTTGCAGTTTGTCTTCGGCCCTGGTTGGGTCATGCGGGTGGCAGCCATTTGATGTGTCCCTTTCACGCTGATGTTTCTCTCTCTCTCTCTTCCTCTCTCTCCCCACCTCGATCTGAACAAAAAATGGAAAAATGTCCTCAGGTGAGGATAAAAAAAAAAATTAAAAAAAAAAAAAAGGATTTGTGGTACATATACACAATGACCACTTTAAAATTACAGAACAGCCATCACTGAGAACCACCTGAAGCCTAGCTGAACAGAACTAAGGATATACAGAAGAAGCCATGTGAGACTGGCATGAAAGGCAGAGACTCTGAAAAAGCTGGTCCACACCCAAGCAGGGCAATTATAAATGGGTGGTGATATCTTCACTATGCAGAGCACCACTGAGAAGTAAGGAGACCCAGCCACACACAGACTCCTCAGCCCAGGTTTCAAGGACCAGGAAAAAAAGTCCCCATATGTTCTGGCTGTGAAAACCAACAGGGATTGCAGCTGAGTGACAGGGAATGCTGCTGGAATCCCAAACTTTCCTGTTATAAAGAGCCTGCATTGTAATTAAAATGCCAAAAATTAAGTAAGAAAAAAATTTAAAAGCAGCAAGAGAAAAGCAGGTCTCATAAGAGAAAAAGACATGAGGAGACCATGTAGCACCTGGTGGTAAAAAAACAGTGGGGATTCAGTCCACCTGGGAGATCCAGACTACATCCTCACAGAGAAGAGCACTGCTATTGTTACAGCACCAGCCTGGAGAGTGCACAGCCGGACTAGGACCGCTGGTGAGGCCATACTGTTGTGCTCGGGTCCTGCAGAGGAGGGTCTGCTGGATACACCCAGCAGTGAATTTAAGGGGCCCTCTATTTTCTGGGTGAGGTCGTGCAGAAGGCAACCAGTCAATGTGTCCTTCTCATGTCCATGTTCATCTCTCTCTCTCTCCTTCCTTCCAACTCTATCTGAAGATAAATAGAAAAATATCCTCAGGTGAGGATTAAAATACACACACACACACACACACACACACACACACACAAAAGAAAGAAAAATAATAACAAAAAACAAACAATAACACACACACAAAAAACCCTCAGTTTGTGAAACTGATGGACTCAACCCTATCTATTACTTATTATTTATTCACATAATAAATCCTTTCCAGTGATAAAACTAACCATGTGGAGTCAAGTATAGCCACTTAAGCACTTAAGGAAAACTAGGTAACAATTAAAAAGCACCACATACTTTTAAAAGTAAAACAATAAGTAGAAAGAAAGTTATTTTTCTGATGGGACATCTATAACACAGTATCTTTGCACTCTAATCATAATTTTTTTTTTTAGATTTAAATTTTGTGTCTCAAAGTAGCTGACTTAAAATAAAAATGGAGACAGTTGCAGTCCTTCAGTATTTTACAAGAATTTGGTGGTTTCAATCATTATAATCTAGTGGTCAAGTCCGACTGGGTTCCAATATTGGTTCAATCCTTATTGGTTCTGTGACTTTCGGTAGGGCACTCTGACTCACTCTCCTTATCTGAAAATGGAGATAATATTCCTGTGGTTATTGTGAGGAACAAAACTCCAAGAAAAGAACTAAACAAAATAGGGTAAGTATTATAACAGATCCAGAGTTCAAAACACTGGTTATAAGGTTATTCAAGAAACTTAGTGAGGCCCTCAAGAGCATAATAAAGGACCAGTCAACAGTGCAGGATGAAATAACTGAAATAAAAAATAATTTACAGGGAAACAACAGTAGACTAGGTGAAGCCGAGAATCAAACCATCGATTTGGAATATAAGGAAGCAAAATCCATGCAACCAGTATAGCATAAAAGAAAAAGAATCCAAAATAATGAGGATAGTGTAAGGAACCTTTAGGACCACTTCAAGCGTACCAATATTCACATCATGGGGGTGCCAGAAGGAGTACCCAGAGGTCAGTTTTGCAATTTTCTCCCACTCATTTCTCTTTATCTTCTTCTGTCCTCTTAACTATCTCAAGTAAAATGTGGGTCTACTAATACCATCAAGAAGTTAACCTTTACCAAGTAACAGATTAAATCATCATCTTTTCTTTTACATTATACAATAACACTTTGAGAATATAATCAAAATAATGATAAATTACTGACAAAATAAAATTTATGCTACAAAAGAAACACAACATGTACTACAAGGGAGAATAATTTACAAAGCTGAAATGAGAATGCTGCTAACAATAAGACATTTTCCTTATCAGACACTGTGTAAAGAAGCAATTTCAATAAGTTGTACTGAATATTTGTAAACTATAATAAACTGGTTAAGAACTCAGATATAAACTGAACTCTACCTCTAACTGTTGATTTGATGTAGGGAAATTAACTCTTTGAGAATCTGTTTCCTCACATGGAAATTGAGATATTTAATAATAGGACCTATGTCAAATAGAGTTGTGAAGCTTAAGATAATGCATATTAAACACTAATCCCAATGCTTCCATATGGTAATCACTATAAACACATTAATTACTATTATTTTTAAATCCTTTTTGTCTGGGAAAGTTACATACAGGCTTCCTTCATAATGGCAATTTTCCTAAATGAAGGTGTTATACAAGATGCTCTAAAGGTCTATCAAGCTTTATGAGTTTAAGATTCTAGATGGAGATCATATTGTTCAGAGCAGTCATCCTGTCTGCAAGAATACACTTTTCCAACCCTAAGAACCATAACTGTAAGCTAATAAAACAAACGTGGATAAAATTGAGTGTTTGATTCAACTTTTACATTATATAGCTAGATTATCATTTTTTAAATTTTAGACTCCTCAGAGTAGCTGTCAAAGTTTGCAAAATTAGAAATCTGATTCCATTCCCTCTTCAAACACCACAGATTCCAAATTTTGGAGGCACTCAGCTTGGATAGAAACAGAAAATTTGAATATATAAAGGCAGACAGCTTTCTTTAATTCTATATACCTCATGGATGTGAATTACATGACTTCCAAAATGGGTGAGATGCCATTTTATTTTTTGTTTTATTTGTAGAGAGGTCAAAATCTAATCTAATCTAGTTCTTCATAATATTGTAACACTGAAAAGAAATTTAGTAGTGAAATAAGTAGAACTTAATGATTACAAATATCTACTATCCATAGATTTCAAAGATTCTATCCATGCTTCCCAAAATACCTGAGACATGGATATAAATGGAACTAAGAGTTTGATAAGAAGTGGTAAAGTACCACAATACAAAATTTGACAATGTTGTTTGGGGTTCATTAATGAAACCGTGGTTATAAAAAATTATAAAATCAAATATAATTTAATGGGTAAAAATCCTTATATCATTAATGGAGAAGACAGGAAAATTTGGTGACCTACATATTATATTACCTGGATAAGTGAACATTCAGCACTTTCATTTCTGCTGCATATCAAAAGTAACTTTCTTCAACTTCACTTAATTTGTTAATGGTTGAGGACTAGAAATAATTTACTAGATATTTTAAAATGGCAAATTCTGCTACCTGGCTGGTAGTGACAAAAATATGGAAAAGTTCTAATTATTCCATAAGTAGGGAAAACTGAAGAATTTTTAAAAAATCAATGTGAAGGTAAATTTTTATCATGGTAATGTTAGCACAGGGGAGAAAAATTAGGACATTCATTCTTTACATAGTATGTATCTTGGAGTTATACTTGTCAATTTGAATAATTTCCTTTAAATAGGTCCTGTATTCCTCAGAATCATTAGAACTAGTATTGATACTGTACTTGATTGATTTTTCACATCTGCATTTCACAGCAAAGACCTGGTTTGGTTTTCATTTGTACTCATTCACTACCAAGACCAAACAACTCAAGCAAACAAATTACCTCTGAAAATCAAATTAATAGGCTTCCAATGAATAATTGTTCACTAGGTTGTTATAAAAATTTTTCAAACATCTGAATCTTTACCAAACATGCATTGAAACAGTTCTGGACTAAGATCAAAGAGACTGAAGAAGACTGACAAATATCTTAAGTCTTCCTATAATTGTTTTCACTCTACTTCAAATGTAAGTCCTTGCAATTTCCAAACTTCTATCTAGATTTCAATTCTGGATCTGAGTTATTTATTTATTTATTTATTTTTTAATTTATTGTTTTTTTAATCCTCACCCGAGGACATTTTTCCACTTTTTGTTCAGACAGAGCGGGAGGAAGAGAGAGGAAAAGAGAGAGAGAGAAAAAAAACATTGACGTGAAAGGGACACATTGAGTGGCTGCCACCTGCACGACCCACCAGGGCCGGGGACAAACCACAACGGAGGCATGTGTCCTTAGGGGGAACCAAACCCAGGTCTTTCTGGACTGCAGGCCAATGCTCTAACTGCTGAGCCAAAACGGCCAGGGCATTTTTTATAACCCTAAATTCCTAAGAAGGAGGGGCAAAGAATAAATTAAAAAGTAAACAAAAACAAAATGTCAGACATGAAGAAAAAGATCAAGAGACCATGTCAAGTAAGAAAACTAAAAAACATAAAATGAAGTTAAGAAAACAAAACTAAAATAACCTTTGTATGCGTGATAGGATACTACCACTTATGCTGCCTGGGTTATTTCTATGAAAGAAAAATATATTTGTGAAGGATGGACCTATAAGTGTACTATTACTATGTCATATTCTTACTCAAATAAGTTTTTTTAGGTTAGAAAGTTAATAATATGGAAAAAAATTTATTTTGATCAATATTATCATTAAATAGTAAGGGTTAAAATTAAAAAAACAAAAACAAAAAAACCTACCTATGCAAAATAAGTTATACATTTATCAGCCTCATTTATACTTTGGTATTTGTAAGGTAGATATTTAAACTTAAAAAGAAATCCTTTCAGGTCACCTAAAGTTCTTGGTAGAAATGTAACATGATGTGAGAAATCTGGTTACCAGTTAAATCTGAAGTGCTTCATCCATTATGGCGACAAAGGTGGTTTTAGCAGCTATCGTTACATTCCTTTAAAATTTCAAAGTACTTTTTGGGTCCTTCCAAGATGAATGTTCTTTCTTCCTTGCTTCTCATTCTTTATTTTCTGAAGACTGTAATGCTTACTGCAAGAGAAAAAAAATTAAATAGAGCTATACTGGAGAGGTAACTAGTTTTAAAAATATTGCACTGTTTTGTTTTGTTTTTCCCTTTGGGATATTCATAATTTCACCCTCACTCAAGAATTAGAATTAGTCTTACTTATTTAAGAAGTATCTCCCTTACTTAGGTTAAACATGGACAGAGCCTCACACACTCAACAACGATCCATGTCATCACATCTAAGAAGCAAGTAACTTATAAGAATCAAATCAGCAGTGAGGCACTTAAGACTTTAAGAACATTTATCGAATGAGAAATATTAATCTCTACTTCACTTTTTACTAACATTCCAATTATAAATGTCACAACATGCTCAGCCAGTGTGGCTCAGTGATTGCGCATCAACCCATGCACCAAGAGGTCACCAGTTCGATACCTCCTCAGGGCACATGCTCAGGTTGTGGGCCAGATCACTAGTGGGGGCAGGGCATTATGCAGGAAGCGGCCAATCGATGTTCTCTCTCATCGATGTTTCTATCTCTCCCTTCCTCTCTCTAACATCAATCAATCAATCAATCAATCAATCGTCACAAGGTCCAGTTTTGATACAACCTCTGAAAAATATAAAAGTAGGTAACTCCAAATGAAAATTTTCACTAGTCACTTTGCAGTTTTACTCTATGCACAAGTATGAAATATATTTATAGTCTGGTATATAAAATGTCACCTAAATTGAATTAATAAATTTCTATCGATTTTTTATTCTTGGGCACCAAGTATATGTACATTCAAACCGGCCCAATCCCTAATTTGTTTAACAAAGACAAGGAAAATAAATGGAAGAGTTAAGTAGAAAGCAAAATATAACTGTGATTATTTTTAAATGATTTCTGATTGTTGTATAAATTGTAAGACAACAGAAAAGCATTTAATTAAGGAAGTTTTTGTTTGTGCACCATCAAACAATACCTAACTCCAATACAGCTGGGTTATTCATGACGAAAACAACAGCCAATGTTCTTAGAGTGCTTATATCATCAATTCATGTGGTACATAACAATGTTAAGCAGCACACAGGAGAAACATTACCAAGAATAGACATATATCACTAAAAAATAGATGAAATTATGATGCCCAGGATAACATACACTATGGGAAAATAGTTTCCATTATAAGATAAGGCTTTAAAGAAAGAAAATGCAATTTATTCCAATTACATTTTAAAATTTGAATATGAAAAATAGAACTATGGGTATACAAATATGGGTAACCTAGAAAAGTACAGTTAAAAAAGTGATTTCCCAAGCATAGGTATTTGGCTATTTGTAAAATTGAAATGAGGACCCAGACCTACTCTCTCCTAATGCAGTGTTTTACTATCCTCCTGTAATCAATCCTGCATTTGTTCCTCTCAGGCTCCCAAATGGTTTTTTCAAATATTTTATTCTTGGACTTGTAAGTATTCAATCACAATACAGCCACTGAAAAATTACCCAACTATGTAAAAGATGAAGAGACATAAACAGTGTTTAATTAAACATTCACATTTTAATTGTGTCATTTGTAGACAGGATATAATTGAATCTTATATTATTTTTCCAGTCTGAAAATCCCCGACTCCTAATTGCAGAGTTTAAGCCCATCAATATGTAATTATCGAAATTATCTGAATTCATAACTACCATTTTGCAGTTTGCTTTCTAATTCTATTGTTTTTGCTGCTTTTGTTTTGTTCCTGTTCTGTTTTTTCCTGCCTTAATTTCAGTTAGTCAAATATTTTTAAATTTTTTTTATTTTCCTTTACTGCTTCCATTCTAAGGATTATAATATGCATACTCATATTATTCCAGTCCACTTAAAGTTAATATTAAACATCATGTAAAACATTAAGAACCTTGCAATGGTATAATTCCATTTTCTACAACATCCTTTTTGCTAATGTTATATATCTCTATGTGTATTATAACACTCCATAATAAAGGGATTGAACTTATGTTTTAAGAAGTCAGCTTTCTATTAAAGAAAGTAACGGGGGGGGGGGGATAAATGTTTTATATATTTATCTTCTTGGTGGTTTACATTTATTCCTGTAGAACCGAGATTCCATTTGATATCACTGTTCTTCAGCTTAAATACATTTGTTTATTATTTCTTATACTACAGGACTGTTGACAGTGAATTATCTGTTTTTGTTTATAAAAAATTGTTATTTTACCTTCATTTTAAAATATTTTCATTAAATATAGAATTCTGAGTTGAAAGGTGTATTTTGTTTTTCTTACACTTTGGAAGAAATCATTCTATACATTTTTTTACTTCCATTATTCTGACAAGCAGCTGTCATTAATAGTATTGTTACCCGATACAAATACTATACAATGCAATAGTATTGTTCTGTTTTCTGGCTGTTTTTAAGATTTTCTCTTTGTTTTTCAGGAGGACATGTCGGGATTTGGTTTTCTTTGTATTTATTCTTCTTGTCATTCAATGAACTTCTTGGCTCTATAAGTTATTTTTTGCTAAATTTGAGAAGTTTTCAACCATTACTTCTTTTTTTTAAATATTTTTTTCTTTATTGATTTTAGAGAGAGAGGAAGAGAGAGAGAGATAGAAACATCGATGAGAGAACATCGATTGGCCTGGCCACCTTCTGCATGCCCCCCACTAGGGATCAGGCCCACAATCTGGGCATGTGCCCTGACTGGGAACTGAATTGGAGACTTCTTGGTGCATGGGTGGATGCTCAACCAGTGAGCCAAACTGGCTGGGCAGTCATTGTTTCTTTAAAAACATTTTTCTGTACCATTTTCACTCTGACATTCAATATACATGTTTGACTCCTTCCCAATGAGATTCTTTTATAAAATTATTTTTTTCTTTTTGTTCTTCAAGTAGGATAGTTCTACTGATCTGTCAGAGAGTTTGCCTGCCCCTTCTTTTGTCATCTCTCATTTGATATTAGGTCTAGCCAATGAATTTTTCATTTTAGGTTTTATATTTGCAGTTCTACATTCTCTTGTTCTTTTTTAAAAAGTTTTTAGTTGTCTCTATAGACACAGTCTATATTTTCTATAGGCAATATTTGCCTCTTTTTTTTTATCCTCACTCAAGGACACCTTTGCATTTATCTTCAGATAGAGCGAGAAGGGAAGAGAGAGGAAAACATCGACGTGAGAGACACATCGGCATAGCAAATATTTCTACAAATTGTGCACTAGACATAGTTTAACTAAATCCATCCTGACAACCCACACAACCCCAACCAGGGCTGGGGATGAACTGCAAGGGAGGTATGTGCCCCCAGCGGGAACCGAACCCGGCACTCTTCGGTCCGCAGGCAGACGTTCCGACCACTGAGCCAAACCGGCCAGGGCTTTCTTCTTTCTTCAGATGATAATTTGTTATTACATACTGGACAAAATGAATAATATGCTATCAAAACTCTACTTTATCTTCCTTTGTAGTGTGTTGATTTTTCTTCTAATAGGCAGTTAAATACCAGCTGATAATCTTGAACTTGTGGATACATGGCTTTATACTTTGTTAGGGAGGATATGTTTCAGCTTTTCCCTTAGTCTGAAAATAAATCCCTTAGGCTCTGAAGAGCCTTTACTTCTAAGACAGTATCCTTCTGAGATTTCAACAGAAACCCTAATGTGTTTGGTAGGACTCAAACTCCAAATGTGATCAGAAATGCTGCCTCAACAACTTCCCATGTCAACTCTTAGTTTCCATTAGACTTTATGGAGTCTCCTCTACACATGTACACTTAGGGATCAGCCTGAAAATTGAAAAGAATACATGTGCACATTGTGAGGTTACATACTCGATGCCTCTCTCCTTCCTAGGGATTTTCGCCACTAAATTCCAGAACAAATGTCATGAATTGAATAGGGTTGTGGATTATACAGTAGTAACCTATCACTGTTGAATTCCTGACTGTGATTATTTTATTCAGGTTATGTGAAAGAACATTACTGTTTGTAGGAAATGTACTCTAAAGTATTCAGTAACTTACTCTAAAAAATTATCTGAACTAGTCAGAAAAAACTCAGTGTATCAACAGACCTTATGAGATTTTCAAAATGCCCTCTGTGGAAATCGAATATAAAGATTTGAAGAAAAAGTAGTTAAGAGGTGAAATAAATTTGTGTAAATATACTTATTGTATCCCATCTTGATGATTCATAATACATGTTAACATATCAAATATTTCTACAAATTGTGCATTAGACATAGTTTAACTAAATCCATCCTGACAACCACATAAAAATTAGATACTCAGAACCTACTATATGAAAAGCAATGTAATAAGTAGTAGGGATAAAGAAAAAATAAGAATGGTAACATTTCTCCTCTCAGACAGATCACAATGTAGTACAGAAAGAGACAAATATGTAAACAAACTGTCAGATAATCATAAAAGCTTTGAGGAAAATAAAATTGGGTGTTAAATATTAAGAGGGTGGAGAAGCCGCTCTCATTTTATTATTATGTTAAATAATTTTCCATTACAGTTGACACTCAATATTACTTTAATTAATTTCAGGTACACAGCATAGTGGTTAGACATTTATATAATTTATTTGTGATTCCCCCAGAAAGTCTAGCACACACTGACACCATACATAGTAATCGCAATATTATTTTTTTAAATATGATTTTACTGATTTGAGAAGAAGAAGGGACAGGAAGACATTAATAAGAGAGAAACATCAATCAGCTGCCTCCTGCACACCCAATACTGGGGATACAGCCTGCAACAAGATCATTGTGCCCTGAACGGGTGACCTCTTTGTGCATGGGTCAATGCTCAAACAGTGAGCCACACTGGCCAGTCTTTGTTACATTATTGAATATATTATCTATGTTATACTTAACATTCCATGACATTTTTAACTACCAATTTGTAATTCATAATCCCTTCACCTTTCATCCCAGCCCTCCAAGCTACCTGCCATCTGGCTGGCAAACCTCAGTTTGTCCTCTGTAGCTATAACTTTGTTTCTTTTTTCTTTTTTCA